TTATGCAGATCATCGAAAATCCCAAATTGGCGAAGGAAAACGTCGACCCGAACTCCATTTCTGCCCCTTCCCTCGCAGCTCGAACGAAAAACAACAGGAAGAAGAATTCTCAGGGAATCAAATCTTCGGCCAAACTCAATACAGCGAAGCCCCTTCAAATCTGGTCGCCAGTTAAGGAGAGGAAAGCCAAATCCAAAGCTAGGGTGGCAACGCTGACTTTGCAGGAGATCAGTGCCTGGACTGAAGCAGCCAAGAAGATGACAGGAGATTCAGGGGGAAAAGTACCGGACGCTGAGTCAAACGGTTCCCCCCCGACGAAGGCCCAGACAACGGTGAGCTCCCCGCCGGTGTAGTTGGTCCCAGCCGCCGCGGATCTTCACTTCTTTTGTCAATTTTATTATGAATTCAAATATTAAGGTTATTGCGTGGAATGTCGGGGGTGCTGGGAGCAGGGCTTTCAGACGAGCTCTGAAATTGGTAGTTCAAACGCACCGGCCAGACTTTTTGGTGCTGCTTGAGCCTCAGATCAGTGGGGATACGGCAAATGGAGTTTGCGACAGGATTGGTTTTCCGAATTCTGTTCGGGTGGAAGCTGAAGGGCGATCAGGCGGTATATGGGTTTTTTGGGATGCTGGGGTGTACTCGGTCCAGCCATACTCAGCCTGTTCACAGCATCTGTCTCTTCAAGTTAGAAGAGGTAATGGCCCGAGTTGGATGTTAACTGCTGTGTATGCTTCTCCAAGACAGGGAGAGCAACGCAATCTGTGGGAGAGGCTTATCAATCACAGCAAGAACATTGATTTGCCATGGCTTTTGACTGGGGACTTCAATGCTATATGTAGACCGGAAGAGAAGTCGGGGATACCAGCTCGCAATACTCTGAATAGATGTCATCGTTTCACTGAAAGGATGAATCTGGCGGAGCTCGTTGATCTTGGTTTCTCGGGCCCTAAGTTCACCTGGTCCAGGGGAGAGAATGGTCAGACGTACAAAGCTAGCCGGCTGGATAGGAGTCTCTGCAACATTCATTGGAATTCGGCGTTTCCTAACTCATCAGTTCTGCACCTCCCTCGCTATCAATCAGATCACTGCCCTATCCTGACTCGTGTGGAATCTCAGCCGAGCAGACATCAGGCCACGAAGCCGTTCAAATTCGAAGCAGCTTGGTTGACCAATGAGAGTCTTCGGCCTTTTGTGAGTGATTCTTGGAACTCGGCGGCTCCCCTTGAAACTGCCCTCAAGGCTCTCGCTACTAAGCTGGTAGATTGGAACGAGAATGTCTTTGGGAACATCATGCAAAAAAAGAGGAAGCTGTTGGCAAGAATTAAAGGGGTGGAAACGAGATTGGCCAGTAGTTTTTCTCCAGGTTTGGCTAAACTGCATACGAAACTAGCATCGGAGTTGGATAAAGTTCTTGAGCAGGAAGAGATCATCTGGTATCAAAGATCAAGGGATCAATGGGTAAAATTTGGAGAAAGGAACACCGGCTACTTTCATCAACAGGTCAACATCAGGAGACGTTTCAACAAGATCGAGGCCCTGATGGATGACAACAATTCGTGGGTAACCGAGCCGCGTTCTCTCGCTATGCTGGTGTTCAGTTTTTTCTCTAACATTTATTTGCAGGATAACTCACCGTACGAGGATAGAATGCCGAAGGGGTCTTTTCCTCGTCTCAGCCAAGCTGAGGTGGCAGCCCTGTTCCGTCCCTTTAGCATTATCGATTTTCACCAGGCGATCTTTGGTATGAAGCCATTCCAGGCCCCCGGCCCCGATGGCTTCCATGCGGGGTTTTATCAGCAGTTCTGGCAGGTAGTGGGGAAGTCGCTTTCGGATATGGCAATGTCGTTTTTTGTGACAGGTACTCTTCCGGAAGATGTGACGGAATCTACCCTGGTGCTCATTCCGAAAGTGGACTCTCCGGAGAGGGTGTCTCAGCTAAGACCTATTTCCCTCAACAACGTCTGCCTCAAAAGCATCACCAAGGCAATGACATCCAGACTAAAGCCTCTCATGAGGAAGCTGATCTCGCCAAGGCAGAGCAGTTTTATCCCGGGAAGGCAAACCACGGACAATATCATTGTGGTTCAGGAAATCCTTCATTCTTTCAGCAAGAAGAGGAGCAAAAAAGGGGGTATGATCTTCAAGATTGATCTCGAGAAGGCCTACGATATGCTCAGGTGGGATTTTCTTCGAGACACGTTGAAGGAAGTGGGGCTTTCGAGTAGCTGGATCAGTTGCATTATGTATTGTGTGGAGCATAATACGATGAGGATTCGATGGAATGGTGACCTCTCACAGCCGATCACCCCATCTCGTGGCATCAGACAGGGAGACCCTCTCTCTCCCTATCTTTTTGTTTTATGTATGGAGCGTCTTTCTCATAAAATTGATGAGGCCGTTAGTGCGGGAAAATGGAAGGCTGTGCGGTTAACCAGGGCCGGCCCGCCTCTCACTCATCTTTTTTTTGCAGATGATCTTCTTCTTTTTGCAGAAGCTGAACGAAGACAAATCCGGGTGATCAAGGATTGTCTGGCAGATTTCTGCTATAGCTCCGGACAACGGGTCAACTACAATAAGTCCATCTTATACGTCTCCCCGAATGTCGCCAGGCGTAAAGCAGAATACCTGAGCCAGTGTGCGGGTATCCCCCTGAAAGCAGCTCTGGGGAGATATCTTGGGATACATGCAATTCAGGAGAGGGTCACTAAAGGAAGATATCAATCTCTCTTGCTCCGTATTCAGAGGAAGATGGCTCCTTGGAAGGCGAAGCGCCTCTCTTTTGCGGCTCGGTTAACAGTGGCTAAATCGGTAACTGCCTCTCTTCCGGTTTATACTATGCATACTGAATTAATCCCAAAGGGTGTGTGCAGGAGTATAGACAAAATCAGCAGGGACTTTATCTGGGGAGAGGAGGAGAACCGCTCCAAATTCCACCTGGTAGCTTGGGAAAACATGACGAGACCAAAGGCTGAAGGGGGTGTGGGACTGCGGCCTACGCATCAGGCGAACCTGGCCATGCTGGCTAAATCAGGATGGAAGCTGATGCAAAATGAGGGAAGTTTGTGGCAACATCTACTCCTCTCTAAGTACGGGGGTCAAAGAGCGGGCCTCGATATCTTGCGGAAAGTTCAGGGAAGTTCCTTCACTTGGAGCAGTTTTTCCAAAACTGCTGAGCTCCTTAAGAAAGGCTGCGCTTGGAATATCAAGAATGGTAGAAGGACTAAATTTTGGCTTGATCCGTGGATTTTGCAGGTTCCGCTGAAGGAGGTAGCGACTGGCGGGATTCCGGATGCTTGGGAGCAGGCGGTGGTAGCTGACTTTGTTCGGGAGGATGGGAGCTGGCGCACAGAGCTTTTCAGTGGGCTACTCCCCCAGGATATCTGCAACAAAATCACCAGCACTGCAGTCGACACTCTTGCTCAGGAGGAAGATTCCTTATTCTGGTCGGCGGCAGCAGACGGGAAGTTCTCTGTCAAGTCAGCCTATGGGGTTCTGTCTGCTTCTACCATGCTGCCGAGGGATGAGATTTGGAAAGTGATCTGGGGTTTGCCAGTGCCGGAGAGGGTCAGGTGTTTTACTTGGTTGGCTATTCAGGGCAGGTTAGCAACCAATGTCCTCAGATTTCAGAGGAAGGTGGCGGATTCCCCTATGTGCCTGCGATGTACTGATCAGCCTGAGACGGTTCTCCATATTCTGAGGAACTGCGCCCCTGCTATGTTCTTCTGGTCCAGAGTTGTTCCGCATCAGAAGCAGCATGATTTCTTCAGCGCCACTCACGAGGTTTGGTTCCGTAGCAACCTCTTGAGCAAGGAGTCGAGCAGCTCAGGTATTAGTTGGCCTGGTTTTTTCAGCATGGCGTGTTGGCTGTTATGGAAAAACCGTACTACTATGGCTTTTAAGGGTCCTAGTGCAGCGATGACGGCTCCATCTCTCCTGCACTCCATTATGGTTAAGACGAAGCTGTGGAATGATTCTTGGCATGCCCCAGATCCTTTCTCCAACCTCAAGAAGCAGGGGACCGTGCGGGTTAGAGCCGATGTGGGTTGGACGCCGCCTGCGGAAGGCTGGGTTTTGGTTAATACCGACGGGGCTTCCATTGGAAATCCGGGGCCTGCCGGCGCTGGTGGAGTAGTGCGAGGCCCCCTAGGGAACTGGTTGGGAGGTTTTGTGGCAGGCATTGGCTCAGCATCTGCTGTGCTAGCTGAACTATGGGGTGTCTATTATGGGTTAGAGCTCGCTTGGAAGCTCGGCCACCGGGCGGTGAAATTAGTTTCGGACTCTCAGCTTGCGATCCAGCTGATTCAGGAGCGTCATGATCCCATTCATCCTTACGCGACTCTCTTGAACCTTATTCGCAGGAAGATTGGACAGGACTGGTTGGTTAGCTTGGCTCATACATACCGTGAAGGGAATAGAGTCGCGGACTGGCTCTCGAAGCACAGTCTCGTCTATCCCTATGGTATGTATGAGTTGGTTGATCCGCCTTCTGGAGTTCTTCCTCTGTTGCATGATGACGTGATAGGTGTCACTTTTGAGCGCCAGATTGTGGCGACCTCCTCCTCTTCTTGATAGTCTCTTCTGTACTCTCTTTCTTGGCTTCGGCCTCCTTTGTTATAAAAAAAAAAACCAAATTGTCTTGTTTTTTAATTGATTCATCCAAACGACCCCTTAATAACTCTTTTGGACAAAAAAAAAAAACTTTGATACCGTTGTCACCTTTAAGAGCTATGAAACTAATTAATAATGTGCAAAACTTCTTTCCTAGCAATGTCACTACTGGCGCACTTACAAAAAAATTTCATTTAAATGATGAAAATCAATAAGGTGTTTTGCTGTACAACAGGTATGGAGTAATGATCTTTCCTATCACAAGGCAACACACATTTTCAATACAATCCATTTTTAAGATAATATGAAAGAAGTGTTCGTCTTATTCCTCTTATTTTCTGGTCGCAACTGAAGAAAAACATTTACGTTTTTTATTTGGAAAACCACAACATAGATTTTGCTCTGACCACTGGCCGGATAAATGCCACACAAAACAGAGAACGGGCGAAGTCATTTGACGCAGAAGCCCTTCTTAAACCCTTGTGCCCTCAGGGTTCCTATCTTCTCTGTTTTCCCTCCTTTCTGCTGTCCGTCGGCCATGGAATCCGGTTGAAGAAAAAGAAGCTCCAACCAATTATCAGGCAAAGAAAGACAAAAGAGAGATGCGCCGTCTTGCTCATTCCAATCGTTATAAAAAACTAGCCTTCTTATCTTCTTCTTCTTCTTCTTCTTCTTCCTCCTCCTCGGCCTCAACTGTTGCTTTTTCTGCCATATCTCGCATGGGCTCCAAATTCTCGCCCAAACCCGCCACAGCTTCCGTCCCTCTCTTCCAACCTCTTCCTTCTCCATTTTCTTCCAGTACAAATCTATGCCGCGCCGGGAAGCGCTTGCTCCCAGTGCTATGTTCGAAACCCACTTCTAGAAACAATTCTCGCTCCCTCTACACCAATGGGCATGCGACTCTTCCGATTCCCAAACCAGGTAATCCCTCCCTACCCTTCCTGGAGTAGCGATCTTATGTTGTACGGATGTATATAATTTTCTTTTAGGATATGTCTTAAAATTTTGCGTTTTCAGTTTCAGCTGATTTGGCGGTGGGCGGGGGCTGGAAGAGCGACGCCTTGCGCCATCAATTGGCAGAGTGTGGAATTGAAGTGGATGACTTATCCCCCGGTCAGCATAGCGGCTTATTGTGTCCAAAGGTGAGCTTCTAGCTCCTCAGTAATCAGTATTGTTCCTTTTGATTTCTGACTGCTTTTTAGTTATGTCGCCTGACAAGAATAATTGGCCAAGTCTGGAACTTTAAGCTTTAACTTCTTAGTGTTTAGGGATTGTTCCTATTGTGATAAGATCACGTTTGGTTTGCTATTAGATGAAATTTCTAAAGTGTATCTGTTAATCTAGCCTGAAATAAGAGGCTTCATTGTCATTTCCCCATCTAGTTACCTATTACACTTAAACGTTGAACTGGAAGTTTGAAAATTGGAGCGGATCCACCAATTAAGATTTGGTAAATTTCTGAGGTTTCCTGGTTGTGACTCAAGTTTTTGTTGTATGCTAGTGCCAAGGTGGTGATTCAGGAGAGAAGTCTTTCTCTATTCTCATAAACGCTGAAGGGTATTCTTCAGCTTCACTTTTACTAACTAATTCCCTTTTTCTCTCTGAATATGAGTAATGTAAGTTTGGATGTGTTGACGATGCAGTGCTAGAGCATCATGGATATGTCATAGGGCGAAATGTGGATGGACTGGGGGAACGAAAGTAAGCTAATTTCTTGTACCTGTTTTTACTCTTATATATCTCTGGATGCCTTTCTTGTGACTCCTGTTTTGACTTCCAGCAGCATGCTACCAGTTCGACCTCTAGAAACCCAGTCCAACAAGGTACTCGCAAAAAGCAAACAAGAGAAATTACAGAGGAGAGTCTGCAGTTGGAACCATTATGCAGTGAGGTTGTTAGTCTTACAGTTAAAGTCTTTCCAGTCATGTTCGTATAGCTATGAGTTCATTCCTCAATTGGGTAAATGCAACCATGCTGAAAGCATCATAATAGGGGCAAAATATATTTTTGCTTGCAGCTTGTTGGTTACTTCAAAGAACGGGACATATCTCGTGAAACTTTGGTGAGAAATCGTGTTATGCAGAAGGCTTATGGCAATCAGGTGCGATGCTTTGTGCAAGTTAGTTCCTATAGTTGTTTTTATTCATCGGTAGAGCTATTACCATCGCTTCATTTTAATTTGGCGTTGAGAATCCATAGCAAGATATGTTTTATTAGAGAGTAAAGAGAGGATTTATGGTTCAAACTTCAAAGATGGAAGAAAAGAAGTGATCTTGAGCATATTTTCCCTTGGAACCTGTACCATTCTGACTGACATTTTTTGTTGTCACGAGTGACCGAGAGTTCACTATGCAGAAAAAAAATTCATCAGCCTAACTAGAAAATTTACTGTGGAGGCTGCAATAACAATCTTTGTTCTGTCATTAGCAAGACTAAGATCCATCAAAGTCAGGTTTCAGTACTATTCTCTGGCAACTAACGTGGTTATTCTTATGCATTATTATTATTACAACCACTCAGTTATTTGCCACTTGAAGTTTGAGTAAAAAGAAGACAAGAACATCTGAAACACGACAATCCTGCTTCGAGCTGATTATATCTTTGAACCATGTCTGTCCTAGAAATACACCCAACTTAATATGCAACTTACTGTTTGATAATGTTCTCGTGCTGTATTGACTCTGGTTATTTCTTCCCTTTTTCCGTGGGATGTTTGATATAAGGATGAAGTGGGTTGAAATAGGGTGCTTGTACATTTTATAATTGCCTGCATTTGCTCTGCAGATTGTTATTGCTTTTACTTATCGAAGAAATGGGAGACTGGTAAGCTGCAAGTATCGAGACATTCACAAGAAATTCTGGCAGGTTCGTCTGATGAGTATTACTAGAAAAGCATTGATTTGTTCTATTTCTTCGTGAAAATCATGGGGTTTTTGGTCTTTTATACTCTGTTCTCCGGACTTTTTATTTCTGCTGTAACTTTCATGGATCAGAATGGCGCTAATGTATATTAGGGCTGGGAAAATAGACCAGACCGTTAGAAAAACCGTGGTCCAAACCGTACCGCACAGTTTGGTCCGGACCGTAGACCGTGAAGTATGGTCTGGTCTGGTCCATGGTCTGTATTATTTTATGATTTGATCTCTTGGTCTGGTTTGGTCTAGACCGCGGTTTACCGGACCAAACCGTAGACCCAACTGACTTGTCAATACGTGTTAACAACCCATTCGACCACTCTCCAAACTCCCACAAACACACCCAAGTCTCAACCTTAATATTGTGAATCTCTTCCCTCCTTCATTCACAACCACATTTTACCACAGAGTAGAGATAATCGTGTCTCCATATGACATTATGTTAATGTTTATGATATTATGGTGCAAGCTGAGATGCTTTTACTTTGTATCTTTGTTATGTACTAAGATTTAGAGTATCAAAATTATTCATGCATGTTAGGATTAATGTTTTAAGGCAAATAACAATTATTTTTCTTTGTTATTGGTTCAATTTTTTGTGTGGTTGACTAAACAAATTATTCATTTTTCGTTGAGTGTGGTCTATCTGGACCAGACCAGACCGAACCAGACCGCACAGGCGTGGTCTGGACCAGACCGTATAGTCTGTGGTCTGGTCTGTGGTCTGTACTTTAGCCTCTCGGTCTGGACCGTAGACCGTATATATGGTCTGGTCTGGACCAGACCGCACCGTTTCCCAGCCCTAATGTATATTAGTAGCTTTTAAGTTATGAGGGTTGTCAATCTTAATCGTTTTTTAAGCTTCTACCTCTTCTTGGTAGATGTATACCTAGCATAATTGCAAAACTTTTTCTGGTTAAAGGTTTTGATGGTAACCTCCTTTGTGATCCTTTGGTTGCATGCTTTTATTTCAGGAAAAGGATACCGAAAAGATATTCTATGGGCTGGATGACATTAAGGGGGCTGATGATATTATCATTGTATGTATACTCCATGCAAGTTTTCAATGGAGGCTTTTGCAGTTGTCTATATTATAAGACGTGCTTATCTGTTTTTGCATCTAGGTTGAAGGTGAAATGGACAAGCTTGCAATGGAAGAGGCTGGATTCCGGAATTGTGTGAGTGTGCCTGATGGGGCCCCTCCATTGGTTTCGTCCAAGGATTTGCCACCCGAATCCCAGGTTTGTACAACATCTGGTAACTAATATTGCGACTTATTTGGTTCTTTCCCTTGTTCCTGTTATCTGATGGCAATGCAAAATCTAGTAACTAACTGCTATTATAATCAGTGTTTTATTTGTTCTGATTAATTTAAACATTACTGACCTGTTCAATCTGTATTTGCTGGAGTAGCTGAAGTTTGATTGCAACAACCTTTATAGTCGTGGAAGCTGATTAGGATCCATGCATGTGAATCCCAGGATGTCAAAGTTTCGTAGATTCTATTAGTGAACTTATCTTGACACATTTTCATGCTTTCAGATGGAAGGATAATGACAGTTTTTCAACTTAGTTTTGTAATTGATATACCTTTTCATGTATTTTGTGAAGCTAGGACACGAAGTATCAGTATCTTTGGAATTGCAAAGATTATTTGAAGCAGGTTCGTAAAAAACTGATGTCTTCTTTCTTAGTGCACCTAACTTAAGCAATATACCACAGTATAACATATTGCACCACAACCACCCTAATAGGCATCTCGAATCATACTTGCTACTGATGGAGACCCTCCTGGTCAAGCATTGGCAGAAGAGCTTGCACGGCGTCTGGGAAGAGAAAGGTAGAGGAGCTTATGTCTGCCAATAATGTTGTATCATTTATCCATGTGGTGCTTGTAATTGTAATTATTAAGCTACATTGTTGTCTTACTGTTATCTTTGTTTGGGAATGCAGATGCTGGCGAGTCAAATGGCCAAGGAAAAATGAAGATAGTTATTGCAAAGATGCAAATGAGGTCTCACAGCAGGCCATTAGACTGCTTCGGTGAAATATTTTCTTCTGTGGGCACCTCCGTAATTATACTTCCAACTCTACTTGTAGGTGCTAATGTATTTGGGCCCTCAAGCAGTGAAGGATGCAATTGATGATGCTGAACTATATCCCATTAAAGGATTATTCCTCTTCAGAGATTTCTTTGATGAAATTGACTCATATTACCATCAAACTCAAGGATACCATTTTGGTGTCTCAACAGGATGGAGGTCTTTGGATGGGCTGTACAGTGTAAGAAGAATTTCCTTTGACTCAGTGCTATTGCATTTCTTGGATTGTCTGTATTTTCAAACCAATGTTCATGAACATGCGTTTGATGGATATAAGCAGTTGACGAATGTTACGTTAGAGCTCGGCATTATTATCATGAAACAGTTAACAAAGATTTAAGTGCACTCTCAGAATGCTTTTTCCCGGTTTGATGCAAAAACTGTGGCGAAAAAATAAAATGAGGATGTATGCATATTTTGCTGCAGATTTTAGTTCTAAACCTCTTCCATTGCAGGTTTTGCCAGGAGAGTTGACGATAGTAAGCGGGGTTCCGAATTCTGGCAAGAGTGAGTGGATTGATGCTCTCTTATGCAACCTCAATAAAAGTGCTGACTGGAAATTTGCTCTTTGCTCTATGGAGAACAAGGTAAGCTATAGACTACTGATTTTCTGTGTTTTTTTGCAGTAATAAAGGCTATTTACTTTGAATGTTGAGAGTTGCCAGTATGAAATTTGCACATTTTATAGTTTAGTTTGTCCCGTTCTGGAAGGATAACTTCGCTTTGGACTAATCTTGAATATGGACGCTCTGTAGTCATAATGTTTGCTTCTGGTAATAAGACCTGCTAGCTATAACAGGCTTAAAGAACATTAACTCCGATGACGAGACCGAGAAAGCTACTCTGCTGGAAAGAAATGGCTATACTTAAGATACTTGTTGTCAATCAGAAGTCTCACATATATTGGTGCAGAATATTCTAATTGCTGCTTATGGGCCTTTTTCAACCTTGCAATTATATGTGGTTTATGGGGTCTTTGTAAGTAGTGGCACTGTTAATCGTCATCTTGTATCTTTTGTAGGTTCGGGACCATGCGAGGAAGCTGATGGAGAAATATGTTAGAAAGCCATTTTTCGATGCTCCGTGAGTTGGTGTTATTTATTGCTGAAGTTTTTTTTTGTTCTAACCTATGTCCATCCCCCACTCCATTTTTCTTGCAAGTTGTTTCTTGTTGCAATTCTTGTGCTATTACTAGCTTGATTTCAACATGCTTTCCTGTTTATCATTGTTTTTCTTCTCTTGTTACTCATCCCAGTAAGTTGTATAACCATAGATCACTGTTTAGGGGCGGATCTATTATCATTGTTAATGTTTGATGTACTGTGAAATCATGTAGAGATTTCTTGGAGTGGTATTTTTTTTTAACTAGGGTCTCTCTTGGGTGTCACCCTTTTGCTTGTTCAAAAATTTGGTAGACTTTTCTTCCTGTCCATCATAGGTATGGCGAATCTGCGGAAAGAATTGATGTCATGGAGTATGAGCGTGGGAAGCAGTGGTTGAATGATACATTCTACCTGATAAGGTAACTCAAAACATGCAAGGAAAATGTTACTTGGGAAGTTCCCAGAGCCTGAACAGTACGGGCAAAATGTTTAGAGTTTCCCATCTTTTATAAAACTTTCTAATTCTAACAAGTAATTTCGTTTGCTTGCTTGCTCTCTTTGCTTGCAATGCTAATCTGAGTTGGCATCTCTGTAACAGATGCGAAGATGATGCACTTCCAAACATAAGATGGGTTCTTAGTCTGGCGAAAGCAGCAGTCCTTAGATATGGTGTCCGTGGGCTTGTAATTGATCCTTACAACGAACTTGATCATCAGCGGCCACCTAATATGTGAGAATTTCTCCTTGCCGAATTCTCTTCGTTTGAAGTTTTAGGGTATGGTGTATGCCATGGTTTATGAGCGTGGTTGACTGGTATATACCAATGGAAATACTGGTTCCAAATCAAGACTTTGGAATAGCTGATTGTTAAACTCAATTTGGTTAAATGATTCCTAAACTCCTGATACTAAACGTGCGTCTTAATTGTGATTAGGACCGAAACAGAGTACGTGAGTCAGATGCTGACTCTGGTAAAAAGATTTGCTCAGCACCATTCATGTCATGTGTGGTTCGTTGCACATCCCAGACAGGTAATATGGGCATTTTTCTTCTATCTTAACGTTTGACTATTGGGTTTATGATATTTATTCACATTACATGCATTGTTTTGTGCAACAATCAGCTGCACAACTGGATCGGAGGCCCCCCTAATATGTATGATATAAGCGGGAGTGCACATTTCATAAACAAATGTGATAATGGGATCATCATTCATCGCAACAGAAATCCAGAGGCTGGGGACATTGATCAAGTCCAGGTGCGTTGGGCTGCTTGCTGAAAATTCCGGTTTTGCGCGTACACAACGAACTTATAAGCTTATATGGTGGGCCTTTTGCGTGCACGATTCTTGATTTTTCTGCAGATTTGTGTTCGGAAGGTCCGAAACAAGGTCGTGGGAACCATAGGCGACGCCTACTTGTCATACAACAGGTATGAAAAATAGTATTTCAGTGCTTGTTATGTCATTAGTTTGTCGTGGTGAGAACGGTGATGATGAGTGTGCAAACCTTTTCGACAGGGTTACTGGTGAGTTCAGGGATACCGAAACCCATCACCGAAAATGATTGTGGGGGAAGGTGGAAATGTGTGGAAATCTTGGTCTTCCATCCCAATTTTCAGGGTTTGTGGAGGGTTGGAAGAGACCAGAGAGAAGACTGCATTTCCCAATATGGAGATGATACGCTGGATGAAACCAAACCTCTTCATACTTGTAATGTCGGGTTGGTAATGTTTCTTCATATCAAAATGTTAATATTGGAAGTGAATTCATTCACATTAGAGTACAAACATGTTAATCTTATCATATTATACCTAGTCAGTTGGCCGGACAATGGGTATTCTGATCATATTGTATCGGTTGGTTAGGCGGTTAAAATCACATCCTAATCGAACCAGTATGGAGTACAGACATTATAAAGAATTTTTGTTGACCAGTTTATACGGCTAGGATGACAGCCCGCTGTGATAACAACCAATATGATTATATATTTTATTTGATACAAGTATGCTATTGGTGGAACCATGGTTGTATTTAGAAGTAGTGCAACGGTTTGCCTAGTACGCGACCGCACCGGATCAACCGGATCATATCGAACCGAATATAATATGGTACAGTTTTTGGTTTTCGTGACTTTTACAAATACTGGAGTGGAGTGAGTTGTCATTTAGATTGGATCAAATCAAACCAGTGCAACACTAGTGTGTGCAATGTTGGTCTAGACCTACATGTCTTTCACTATTGATTATTGAAGCATGGTTTACATTAGTTTGGTCTGCTTTGGTCCGAACCGTTTCACACCTCTAGTTGTATTGTATTAATAAATACTTTTTGTTAAGTTATGCGATTCAATTTTTAGTGCGCTTTCACAATGAATGAGTTGAATAAGTTTATATTATTCATTTTGCCGATTTAATGTTTGCCCCAAATATTTTAGATTTCTATATTTCAAGGTTAGTGTAACACACTCTTTACAAAGTATCAATTCTTTTAGTTCTTAATGTAACTAACCGGAATAGGGTTTTTCATAGGAGCTCAACATGTAATCTAGGATTATCATCTCTTTGCTAAGACTAGTGACACGCTAAAACACAACACCTAACAATGGCCAAGTGTAACCAATGAAAGGGACTGCAGTATAGTGGTACAAGTAATAAATATCGAATCCACGGGTATCTAGAGTTACTATTACTCAGCTTCGGTTCATTATCTAGCAAACTAGATTAAGGATTGATGAACTAAACTACTCTACTAACTACTCTACTAATTACAAGTTGGGAACTCACTTAGGTATAATTCCCCCTAGCTCCTCAATTAGGTCCAAGTTGCAATTACCTTTGGTTGATCTACTTTTGATTAAACTGCGGAAGATCCTAAATTAGCTTGGAATCTCTTAAGCTGACCAAGCCCTCTCAGTCCAACTACCCGGCAGACGACTAGTCTTCACCAGGATAGAAAGCTGAGGCTATGAACACAGAACTTCACTACTGGAATGAATTCCAGTACAAAGCAGTGAATTGATTGACTCTCGCACAACCAATTCACCACTATCAATCAAGGAAGCTCTCTTAACCTAATCAGATTCTATCTATCATAGGTTAAAGCAGAATCAAGAGAATTTGATCAAGATTCAATTGACTCAATAAATCATGCCTTAATCGATTATAATCAAACAATATAGCATCCAAAACTTCATACAAGAAAGATCCTAACACATGGAACTAGGGTTCTTCAAAACCTACGTGAAGGGAAGTTACTCCATAGAGAAGAGAGAGACTGCAGAAATCTGATCTAGATCTTCAATCTCCATCTCCATGTTTGATTCCCGAGCTCCAATGGCGAAGAAATCCTCCAAAATAGCTCCAAGAATGTTCCCAAGTCGCTCTCTCTCTAGGGTTCGTCCCTTGGGTGTTTGGGAACCAAAAACCCAGCTCTCCCATTTCCTTTTGCTGAAAATCGGGTTTAAAACATAAATTTCCGATCACGCGGCCAGGCCATACGGCCGTGTGGCTTTCCCAGCTGCCCGTGTGAAGGCTCGGTGAATTCCACACGGCCACGACCCACACGGCCGTGTGGAGTTCCAGAATGCCCGTGTGGCTTACCCAGCCTCTGTTTAATTCTTCATTTCTCCCTCTTCCGGACTCCGAATCAGTCGCCGTTTGATCCTAGACGCTCGTATTCTCGTCCTATTTCTTTTCATGACAAAATTCCATGATTATTTGTCCATAATATGAGGTAGAAGTCCATTATTCCTCAGGTCATGCTCGTGTTTCTTCTCCCGAATTGCCAAATGATCTCCGATTGACTTGAAACTTGCGCCTATGCTTCAATTTACATGCTAGGACCTGAAATGTGACAAAGGAACACAACCTAGCGTAAAATAGTCCAAGAAAGCAGAAACTCAAGCCAAAATGATCAAGAAACGAGGGTGCAAACTTGTGCAAATCCGATGTTATCAACTAGCTTAGCCACGGTGTAACAAATGCTCAGTATTTAGCCTACTTATTCAATGATAGTTTAATTGTTCAATCTTCAATCGCTGTGGGTCGTCTAATTTCATAAAGTATTGACATATGAATCATATCAATATTTCACGACCTTGAAATTCAAAGTTACTATGTTATGCCTGAAACTATGATTCTCAGTGGCTGGGCTAAGTATGAACAATTATAGCAACTTAAGAAATTCAAACTTGAGACCTACAGGTCCAAGACCAGTGACAATACCACTAGATTAAGCCCTTATTCGATAGAATTAATTGTTTATACTCATTAGTCATTAGTGATGTCCTTACTCACATGAATGATCTAACGTACAATAATGGTTAAGACTATACCACCATCATATCAAATTTGTTATTCAGGTGAAGTGCTAATATGTCAAGTAGAGTTCTAGGACATTATTGCACAATAGAATTTTCATTATTGTCCATTCTACACTAACTTGGCATCTGAATTAATTTTCCCCCGAATCTAACTTTAAGATTGTTAAGTCTCCAATATGAATAAGTGTTAGGGCAAATACCACTAGCCAATGCAGTTAAACTAGCGTTTTAAAATTAAAAAACTTATGGTTTTACGCTTCTAGGTCACCGAAACGCTTTCGTTTTCATATAAAATCTTTAGTGTATAAAATCGAACTAAATTTCGATTTAAAGCTTAAAAGCTTATGCATTTATGCTTCTAGTTCACCAAAACGCTTTTACCTTCTATTTCACTAAATGGGTATTCTTTTCATGAAATTAATTATATAAAGTATATTTTAAAGGTAATTAACCAATAATACGATAAATTTTTAATAGAGTAATCTAATTCACTAGCTAGGCCCAACCCAAATTCATTAGCATAGAGGGGAAGATGACTTTTTGTTAAGATCTATGTTTATGAACTTATTATTAAGATGCTATGAGTTGCTCTACTTTAGACATGAATTACATTTACAGGTATCTATTAATTTATCTCAATTCTGTGCACTCATATTTTACATAGTATACGTCGTACTTAACAGATTTTTAGCTATTTTACAGTATGCGTAAAATACTTAAGCTTTGACGCTTTGATTCTACGCTTTACGATTTTACCCATTTTTCGCTTCTAAGTGGAATCGTGCTTTTGACTGCATTGCCACTAGGAAACCTGAACTATCAAGAATGTGTCATTCTTATTTGTTCTTTTCCATTCCTAATCCCTTTTCTTTTCTTTTATTCATATCTCATAATATTATGTGTTATTATTTATTAAGCGTATTTGTTGTTATTGTTGTGACAAAATCGATCTATTTGTTTGTATTTGGGTTTACATCATTAGTAATCTCGCTCGAGAACAAATAGCAAATTCATGGAGACATATTGTAATATGCGTTATCATTCATTAAACGTATTTTTTGTTGTTGTGTAATAATCAAACTATATGTTCGTATTTGAGCTCAAATAGGAAGGCCATATAGAAATCTCCTACTCCAAATTAAGAGGGTGGAAGTGGTCTCGAAACTAAAAGAAACATAATCTACGTTCTTCAATCTTTTTCTTCTTTTGTTCTTTTTTATTTCAAACGCATAAACTTTGTAATATTGAATTAGCAGTTGTCGAGCTCCAAATATGTAAATCTTGCTCTTATTCATAATCTTATCTGTCAACGAGTGCATATTGCCCGTGGAGATCTCCCACATCTATCTATTTTTTGTGATTTTACTAATTATTTCCTTGCAACATATTTATAGTGATATACACCGTAGTTAACTAAACAATAATTATTTTTTAATTGGCCACTCGCACTAAGGGTGCTGCCTTTACCAATCACTCTACCAAAGCCGATCATAGACTTTTCTATTGCACAAGGAAATCAAACCGTAAAACTTGACAATACACAATTTTATTATATCATTGACTTTCTAAAAAAGGACCAATAATTCATTGGCAAAACAGTAAGTCTCGAAATATCAGTTTGACTTTTCTCAAAATAGAAATATCAGTAATCTACCATATAAGAAAGACTCCCAAGTCACATTTTTTATTATTATATCGTGTCTTCAATGTTTAGTTGTCTTACTAGGTGCAATACCTCCAAAAACCTTTTGGACCATAACTTTGAAAAAGGTTTTAATACTACAGAAACACGCTGAAAAATGGAAAGCATAATCGGACCAAAACCAGAGCGTCGGTCGAGCAATCCAAACCGGCTCGATCATGAAAAATCACATGGACAAAGGAGGGACGCTCTGTTCGTTCCTGAAGAAATTGGAAGGGTCAATGGCGGCTTTCACCCGAGCCAACCTCTCAAAATTATGCTTGAAATACTGCTCCCCCCAAACTCTGGCCTGCTCGTAGCTCGTCTCCCCCGTCGGATCATTCATCCCCAAGTCCAGATCCCTGGAATTCGCGTACGCTCCTCTCGGGTTCTTGGAAACGAACGGCGTCAGGAATTCGTGCAGCTTCCTTATCCATCCCAAATGCCTCTCTTCCACCTCCTTCTGTTCACCCGACCATGCCACATAGTACTGGATTTTGTACACAGTCCCGGCTCTATATGGGTAGGGAGTGCTGGAATCCGAGATTCGGCTCATCATCCCTCCGTGAGGAATGAGATGGAGCAGAGCCGCCCCTGCCTCCACTTGATGAACCCTGCTCCAGATCCCCTGCAACGCCGATTCAGGGAGCGGGGTGCCCACGTAGTCCGATTTCGCTTTCAGCTTTGCGAACGAGATGGGCGAGTCCGTCCTGCTCTTCAGCAGCACGTCGTAGGTGGAGTTGCTCGGGTAATTGGCGAAGTGAAGCACCGACTCGATCCAGCTCATCTCCTTGCAATCTTCTTCCTTCAATCCCAGCTCCGGGAAGCTCTCATTCATTACCCTCAACAATCTTTCTTTTCCCCCCAAATACATGACCTGGAATGCAGCTTGTAGTACCTGTTTGGTGGAATTACCCTGATCGACGGCGCCGATCATCACCAGGATCATGAGATCGTCCGGCAGCTTGTCCGTCACGCGCTGGTACCGGTCGACGAGCTTCGTCATCTCCGCGTCGG